ATTGTTATTATATATATTTAAAAAAATATTCTACATTATTTAATTAATATTAAATATATAATATTAGGTGTACAACCCTTAGCCATCTTATAGAAACAAAATGGTGGAAGCAAAAACATCTATTATTAAAATATTACAAAATAATTTTCACATTTTCTATATTATCTATTTTCTAAATTAACTCACGTTATTGATTTTTTGTTAAAAAAATAAAAGAAACAAACCAAAAAGAAATTCGTTAATTGTATAATTGGATTAATTAAAAGTTTCATTTCTTGATTTTGTCCCTTTCGATTAATTTGATCAAAAGGACGAGCCTTTTTGTTCCTCCCTCGTTATTTTCCACCTACTCAGGGACGGCTTTCGATGTACCTTCGAGTTTCTTTTGCAAAACAGGTACTAGTCATAAAAATCCTGAGGTACACCCAACTCTATTTCTCTCTCTTTCTATTTCCTTCTTTTTCTTATTTGCAATTCTGTCATTCCTTTGAAAGTGTTAGAGGATTTTATACAAGTAGTCAACTATATCTTCCTATTTCGAAGTTTCCTTTTTTTTCTGTGCATGTTTTTTGTTTTTCTTCGATTATCTTCAACATTTCTCTGCGCTAACAAATTTTCTTCAATTTAACATTTTATCTTCGATCATTTTATACTCATTCGTTAATTTTATTGTTCACGAAATATTGCACGTGTGTGTGTTTTTGTTTTGTTTAAAAAATAAATACAAAAATTCGTATGTTATTCGGATATATTTAATAATAATAATAATTATTTTTATCTCTTTCCTTTTCTCTTAAATCAAAACGAAATTTTTGTTTCGTTCAAGTAGAAAAAGAAATTACAATTTTATTTAAAAACAAGTTTTCATCTCACAGGTTTGCATTTACTAAAAAATAAAAAGTGAAACAAAAAAAAAAGGAACAATTTCCTAACGAAACATTACGTTCGTAGGGAAAATTAAACGATCGTTGGTATCTCGACGCAAATCAAAACTTTTTAGCGAAGTATATTTGTTTTGTTTTATTTTTTTTTTCAGTTAAAACTTTTCTCGGAAGAATATTTTTCGAGTGATCTCGAAAAAGTTATCTTACGATTCACATTATAATAGTTACGTTTACTTCCATTAGATATTCCACATTGTTTTATTAACTCGTAGAAACTTTATTAAATGTATATATATATATTGTTCATTTGTATGATAACGAAGAAAAGATAAAAGGAGAAAGAATTTATTTTTCTCGAGTTTTAGCAAAATAATATTCACATTACTTTGAACATTTAAAAAAGTTGTTTCAAAAATATAATTATAATATATAAAAATAATTATTAAATATATAAATATATTTTGTTTCATTTGTATATTAATATTATATTCAAAGTTATAAAAATTGGTTACTCAAAAAGCATAGTTCAAACGTTAATAAATAAACTTTGATATTTTTTTTTATATTTTTGTAGACATTGATAAACTTTAGTATTCCCACTTGGATTATATTTTCTTTTTTTCGAGAATATAAGTGGAAACTTTTGTTTCTTTTTTTCTTCTTTTTAAATAATAACTCAAATATTTTCTACGATCACATTCTATATTACAGAGTTAATATATAATATTATTATTTTTTGTGTTACCTTTTTGAATTTTCTTTAGAGACATTGATAAGCATTAGAATAGATTTTCACTTTGGGATTATATTTAATTCATTTAGATGGCGAGTATCGAAGTATCCCTTTCAACAACACCGAGAAGAAAGAAGGGTGGTAGTTTAGCAGGTGGGGTAACATCATCCCTCGGACACCGTAATAAAGATCATTACAAAGAACTCGACGCCCTTCGTATAGCCCTTCGCGATAAGGAAAATATTATACAGACGTAAGTGGATTTATTTTCTTCTTTCTTCCATTCTAAGGTACTTTGTTGGTATCCTTTTATCCACTATATTATCCGGTTTATATTGTTATTTTTATTCTTTCTCATTTCTTCCCTTTTTCTTTCTTTTTTTTCAGGTTAAAGGGCCAATTGTGCAATAGCTTGAGCAACCGACTGGCATTGCGAAATGGTGCTGCACCACCCTTAACCGAGGCTGACAGAAAAGCAACCGAGGAAAGACTTCAAAGGTTGAAACGTGACGCTGACAACAAAAGATTGGCTATAAAAAATCTCAAACTTGCTTTGGAACGTTTAGACATAACCGAGTAAGATAAATTTTTGTTTAACATTTTGACTGACACACACACACGGGATAGTATTTTTATATTATATACAACAATTCCATAGAAATTAATCTTTTATTTTCCAATAAAACAATTTGTAATTGTTCAATCGGGATCACTTTTTATTTCAAAGTATACTTTAAGTAGCTGTATAGTTCAAAATGCATTAACTGTAAA